CGTGCAGCGGTGCTGTATGGCTCATCACTGTGGTGGTGGAGCGCTTTTGTCCCCGGTGGTAAACCGCTCACTCTCAATGCCCCAAAGTCTGGTATAGAGTTTCAAAACAAGGCTGGATTATCACCACTTTTGAGAGTGAAAAATGCCAGTAATGCCCAGCAGCCTGGTCTATTGTTCGGAGTACGGTCTTTTGTTACAGGACCCTGTTTCCCTAGTCCGAGTTTGGAGACCCCAGCCACCCATATAAACCATACATCTCCGATCCCGGAGTCCCCGGCAGGAAGTGGTTAAGTCTCTGCCACTAAAGAACTGCTGGATTTAGCCATTTTTAATACCTTTATATTTTTTCAAAGGTCAAAATGATGAGCTTCATTTAAGAGTTTAAAATACTTGTAAGTAAAAATATTTGGCAAGAAATGCCATCCAAGAGAAAAATTACTGGACTGCAGTAATGAAAACTGATACTCACCTCATGATGTGACTACATGCAGAGGCTGTATCATCAAATACGTTCCATGGGGCTGTTGGTATCCCATGTCTGTCCATGAAAGCTTTGGCAAACTCCTTGCTTGATTCTATCTCAGCAGCTACCCTCGTTGGCCCAAAGCAATCTATACCTGATGATGTAAGAGCATCGGTGATGCCAGCAGCAAGCGGTGCTTCAGGGCCAACTATAACTAAGCTAATAAAATTGGTCTTGCACCAGGTGATGAGTTGAGGATAGTTACTAGCTGATACATCATCTAAGAACAAAATACATGTATAATGATAAATGTACTGAGAATTAACACAATGATTTAACATGTACATGTACAGTGTACCGGTATACTGTATGTGTATTGCAGTAAGTATAAATACTAACTGTACATTCATTTATAATGCACAGATTCTACAGACCTGTTCAAGTGCACAGTACACTTACAGAATGACCAAAATGTTACTTGTACCTCTTCATTAAAATGTAAATATCTCAAAATACACATTTGTCAAAAACTTGTAACATAGATGTTTAAATTCTTAACTAACCTGCCAATTGGTTTACAATACTTGAATGGTTTAAAATGAAATTATGGACTCCAGTTCACTGACTTTGAACATAATAATCACTAACCTAATCATAGTTACCCGGTATGTACATGTACAGTAGGTACTGCTAACAATAACCAAATCACACAGTGTAATCACCATAACAAGATTTTTTTCAAGATGTACAGTATTTTTTTTTGGACAAAACTGTTATGTGAGACATGAAGTCTGACGCATGGCAAAGTGCTCTAATCAGCTTGGTCTATGATACTTAATCCCAGCTGGCCATCATAAAAATCTACCTCCCAACAAATTAAATATTACAAGATCAAAAACCGTAACTTATTCCTGATGCTAATCTGTACAAAATTCAGTCTTCTACTTCTGTTTATTTGCCTGCAAGAATTTTCACAAGCATTTCTAACGGGGTTTTTCTAACACCTGCTTTTCACACCAGCAGTATGTCAAATGCTAAAAATGCTTAAATTTTACATCTAAAGCAGGGTGGGGATTTTTTATTTTTTTCTTAATACAAAATCAGCTTTTTTGGATTTCAATCCGATTTTTTTTATTTCTATGAAAACTGGAGACAAGTTGGCTCAGTTATCTTTTCAAAAGAAGGCAAATTAGCTGCATATATATTAATGTTCGTTTATCTCTGTTTTGCTACAAAATTAAACAAATTTGGATTTAAATTAAGAAATTTAAATCAAGTAATTGACTAAATATACAAACCACCTTGAATAGTCTAAACCCAGTGAAATGCATGCATTGTAGCACCTATCAGTACATGTGCCAGTACCCAGAGATGACACTTCCTTCAGAGACAGCTTCGGTACACGTACCAAGGATAAAGTGCATACCAGGTTTTAAACCGAATTCTAAGTTTTGACAAACTAGACTTCAAAAAGAATTTGTTAACAGAGTACTCCTAATGTACGTGTATCAAATAACTAAGTGAAAAACATGCCCTCAACCACATGTACATGCATTTATTTTACATGCTAGATATACATGTACATGTACCGTATGTACATGAAGGTACAAAATGCTGGTATTTTACCTTGCTCTAACAGTGATCCTGCTCCTTTGTGAATAACAGAGCAATGACTTAGGCTTGATTTAAAATCACTTTATGAAGAGTACATGTATGTTTGTTAATGGTTTTAGTTTCACTGCATAATGACCAAACATTTCTAATTTCAATAAAATACACATTTATATGTACATACATGTACATGTAGAGACAAAGGGTTCGTGTACACTGAAATGTCACCATGTCAAACTCTGCAGTGGGCAATTTAAATGAAATGAAATAAATTATGATTATAAATCCTTTACATCCAATTCACTCACTGAATCCAAAAAGCTGATGTAAATCAAAACAAGAGGATTGAATTGAACATAAAATCCTTCCAACCTAGACTGTGTATGACACACATGCATTCATACTTTTTTATCAAAACTGGGAACTGATGAGGCAAAAAAAAAATACTTCTGGTTTCGATTTCCTGACCAACCCTAATTTTTTGGCGCGACCCTAAAATTTTTACTGGCAAATTAGAAAAAAATGTTGGCGGCAAATAAGAGAAAAAAATTAAAAATTAACGCTGATGTCTTTTCTGTCTTCACAAAACACCTTTCAGCAACCGTTTCTCATGTTGAAACACTTGTTTTTATATGTTTTCCTACTTACATTTGCAAATTTTGAAAAGAAACTTCAGTCATTTTCACAAGTTCCACTCGCGTTTCGCTGTCACAGTGGTGAAAACACATGCGCAAAGCTCAATGCATGAAGGCAGAGCTGCGCTGGTTCTCACCACGCTGCACCCATGCAAAAGAGCATGTGATTGAAATGTGCTAACCAGCCTTTACATCCCGGTCGATTAAAACTACATCGGTGTCGTACACCGCAATGCAACCATACAGCTGCAGGTCAAAAAATCATCAATGTTACAAGAGGATTTCTGCAAGTTAATTCATAGAACTTGGTCTCCTGTTTATGTATATATTTTCTGTGCTCACGAGTTTCTGCCACAGCACGTGGTTTATCGCCCACCAGTCTGGATGCATCATGGGCACTTACCACGCGATACAAAAGACATTGCTGGCCAGTTTGCCATCGTGATTACCTTAATAGCATTGTGTGATTTGTCTGTAATTCTTGTGAATTGTCGACTGCAGAAATTTTTACATGTAGTAAGACATGTTTCTATCACTGTTTGAGATAATTTTTGGAAGCTTTCATCACCATTCATGCTATTACATCAGCACAAAAATTGACCAAATAAAATTCGGACCTACCAATGCTATTTTTGAGAGGCATGTAATTCGAAGCAAAAGTAGCCTTAACAGTGAATGAGAATAGTGTGCACGTGCCATGTGCCATGCTATAACGGTACTACAACCCACTAGTCTACTCTGTTTGTGGCATGCACAGTCAGTTATCGCCCTATCACGCATCACATTTCAAAAACACAAGTAAAAACACATCCACAATGACTCAGTTTTTGCAATCTTGCATTTATTATCATGAAAAGCATTACATATTTGATCTAAATTTGAACAGGTACATGTAGGCTTATTCTGAAGTTTTCACTAACCCACCGGATGACGAAGGAGCCAAGTTTAGGTAGCCCGGAGCATTTTTTGCTTGAATTTGTACACCGGGCAATTACTATTTCGAGGTCTGTGGATAAGTTTAAGCTGAACCACTTTAAAGCAGTACCATGAATTCCAAATCTGGACTGCAGGGCGTTATGCAGAATGTTATGGTCTAATACATGTATATCAAAGGCAGCACTCAGATCAAGCAAAAATAATGGTGAAACATTCTATCCACAGCCTTTAACATCATTTTAACCCTTAGCAAGGCTGTCTAGGTGCTGTGATATTTACATGTACGATGTGCATGAAGTTGATGCGAAGAGAAAAATCCTACGGTGTGCACTTTCACGAGGGGCTCACGAATATAGCACAAAAGAGGGTGTACCATCTCGGCTGATGTCAAAAGCTCAATCCAGAGGCAGCAAAACATTTCAGAAACGTTACCGTAAAAAATGACGGACATCCCGAAGTTGCTGTAATCGGTATTTTGGACTGGAGCCTGTGGAACTGTACTTGATGAATATATATACATGTATGTAACTGTTCAAGTCGTAGAAGGATGATAGTTTGGGGCTGTCTTTTGCTCTCTTTTTGTAAGCTCATGCTGTACATGGTTTTTGATTTTACAAGCTGCATTGAATTGATAACATTGACAGAATCACCAATGATTTCCACAACTGCTGACTTTGGGACTGGGGCACATATTTCAATTTCATGTTTGTGGTTTTAAAGTATCACCATCTGTCACCACTGATACATGTAAATCTGTTCAAAAATTATGGGGGGAACAGGGTTATAGCCAGGCATTCAAAAGTATATTGGACTGATACACTGTGAAGAAAACCGACACGCTCTCAACCCTTAGATACGCACTCGATATGCTTCTGTTTTCTGAGGAAAAGCACTAATATTAAGTTTTAAAACTACTGTATTCAGAGATTTGAAAAATTTCTTTAAAAACGGACAGTTTCCAGAATATCTGCAAAATGCACCAAAATCAACAACAATTCCACAAAGTGAAACACGGTAGGGCCATGTACATGTATACACGTACACACGCATCATAAGTTTTCACTGCCCTGTTGACAAACATGGTTGAGAATTCATGTACAGTATGCATGATAATGTTCCCGCCGTGCTGCTGACAAAGTAACAGCAAGAGTAGACAGTTCAAGAGCCACACTACAACTCCAGATTCCACATGCACGGTATACAGCCACAATGGCATGACTGGCAGCCGGGTAGTTGTCCAGTTGCCTTGAAAACTATCAAAATGTCTTTGATGAAGTCACAAAACTTGTAGTCTTTTCGAATGCACTGATTTTGATGGTTATTTTGATATACTTTGTTGTGGTTAACATGGACGAGTTTTATAAGACCGCGCCTGGCACACACAATCAGTACGTGCATACCACATACATGTACCAGCCCAGCCACAGAATGTCATGTTTTGTGTCCCTGGGTCTCTTAGCATGAAGTGTGGAACAGACCATTTTCCTTCATATTTTCGGTATTGTCAATCGTTGTCATTAATTTTTGGTAGCGTACATGTACATGTATGTTCGTTATATTAAGACCAAACTTTTTATTATTTTCGGCACAAATATTCGCTTTTACACTGAGGGGAAACTGTTATTTCCTGTTAATTTACTTGTAACTGTTCAAAAACATATGGGATATAACAAAATATGGCAAAAATTTTAAAAAAAGTTCTCCTTCCATTCATGCCTGTAAAACTAGGGTTGGAAGGTCAAAAATTTTTGGGGGGGTCCATATTTTTGCACTGATTCCATGGCATGAATGGAGAAGAAAGCTACCAAAAATTGCCCCCCAAAAGATAAAAACTTGCCTTAATCTACATAAAAATTTCCAGTCAACAATTCTTAAGAATTATGGACAAATCATCCCACTATGCACAACGCTAGTCAGGTAATCACAACGGCAAACTGGCCAACAATGTCTTGTATAGCGTGGTAAGTGAGCATGATGCATCCAGAGGGTATAAACCATGGACCGCCGCAAGAAATTTTGTGGAAACACAACCGCTTGAAGTACGAGCAAAGAAACCTCATTAAATTCACAGAAAATACATCAATAGACAAGAGACCAA